ATCATATGACAAATATGATATTATGATTTTTCACTAGCTAAATAGATTTGAAATCTATTTCATTTCCTAGAAAGTGTATAAGGAAAAGTTTGTGGTTAAGTAATTTATTATATTGAACATCTGTAACTTGAAGTTTGCTAGACACTTAGTAATGCTAGTGAACTTATGTCTTAAGTATTTGATGATAAAAGCATAAGGATATATATTGAACATCAGTAGCAAATGTTCATACATAAAATATAGTAGTATTGATTCGCATGGAGCTGAAGAGTAATCAAAGTTCTCCCATCAAAATTGGTTTTGGGTCAGAACCATATATTTTCCATCTAAATGATTTGGATGCGTCGAATGTAGTAATTAACATGATCGCGACACATGACAATTTAAATTGATAAGATTTTGACATGTGTTGCAAATAAAATAAAATAAAACGATATATTTCAGTTTAGAAAAAAATAACTTAAAGCACTAATCTTTATAAAAAAGGAAAATACTATTTAGAAAAAAATTAATAAAAAATACATATAAAATTTGCAACGTAGGATTACATGAAAATCAAATCCTAAATGTTAATGATGAGTTCAATGAGGAGCAGCTATGATCAGCGAATGTAGAGAAGTTTTTGACACAGTCCTGAGAAGCATAACTTCTCTAGAAAGCAAAAAGATCATATACAAGAGATGAATGTGGAGAGAAAGATAAACTTTATTTTTTTGGAAAGAGTTAATGGTAGACCTATCAATTGGTTGGGCCAACCATGGGCGAAGTCCAGTCCGTAAGAATTTGGTTTGTCCATGGACAAGCCCATTTTTGAAGTTGTCCAATTGGGCTTGGACCAATTGACCCGCGGTTATTTCTGGGCGGGTTAGAACAAAGCCGTGGGTTGACCATGGGCAAAAAAAAAAGAACTTTCGCGTCTTCTTCGTTACATACTCTCTTCTGGCGACATCAATCTTCGGTGACGACGATGAGTTTCTTTATGAAATTTCTTCTGGGTTTCTCTTTGTTTTTTTTTTTTTTTTTTTTACCTATGAAATCTGTTCAAAATCAAAGTGGAACACAACAAATCTCTTTTGATTTCGTTTAGCTTTCTGATTTGATTTCAATTTGTTTAGCTTTGTTCGATTTCAATGGTTGGTTTGTTTAGCTTTCTGATTCCGTTTAGCTTGATGGGTTTCTTCTGAATCATTATGTTGACTTCTTCTGAATCGTTTTGTGCAGCTTTTTGTTGCTTCTTCGTCTCTCACTCTTCTCCTTCCTTGGCGCAAGGAGTCGCCATTGAAGTGGAACTCGGAGCCCAAATCGCTATCACAAACAAGCATCTCTCTCTCTCTCAAGAGAATTTCAGGTGCGACGTCTTTTAACAATCTCGAATAATGGTTGGTTTCAGAATGCATTTTTTCGTGAATGATTCTTTGTTGAGTTGCTGTTTCTCTGAGTTGGGTTGATTCTATTGATGGGGTTCTTCTGGATCATTGTGTTGACTTCTCAGCTGGAATAGTTTTGTGCAGCTTTGAAATGAGTTTCTGATCAAATCTTCTGTTGTTTCAGGAAAATGGATGTGATCAACTTGAATGATGAGAACATTTTGAGTGATATTGAAATGGATCATGCCAATGATATGATGGATGAAGATATGGATCATCATGAAGTCAATCCTGTAGAGAGCTCAAAGCTAAAGAAAGGTACACAACAAAAACAAGCTCAGTGTAGTCGTAGAGTTTCTAGGTGCTAGAATAAGTTTTCAATAGTTGGAGGGAAACTGCCTGATGGAAAAAATGACTTAAGATGCAACTACTGTAAAAAGCATTACTACTTAAATCTTCATAGAAATGGAACTACCAGATTGTTGCGCCATATGAGGGTTTGTAACAAAACCCCTGGAAATACACCTAGAAGTAGTACTAGGAAGCTGGATATGGTGGTCTTTCGTGAAATGATAGCAATGGCAATTATAGAGCATAATTTAACATACTCTTTTGTTGAGTATAAAAGGATTCGAATTGCTTTGGCTTATGCAAACTCTACTATTTGGTTTTGGAGTAGAAACACAGCAGCATCTGATGTGTTAAAAATCTATGAAAAGGAGAAACAGAAACTTAGGAAAATCTTAGTTGATATTCCTAGTAGGGTTTGCTTGACAACTGATCTGTGGCAGGCTATAACCATTGAGGGTTATCTCTATTTAACAGCACACTACATAGATGCAGATTGGAACTTGAAAGCACATATATTGTCTTTCACTGCATTTCCTCCACCTCACACAGGAATTGATATTGCTATAAGGCTCATTGAGTTGCTAAAGGAGTGGGGGTTAGAGAAAAAAGCTTTTTCTCTTACTGTGGACAATGCTTCATCTAATGATAGTATGCAGAGCATTATGAAGAGACAGCTACATAAAGATTTGGTCTGCAATTGAGAGTTCTTCCATGTAAGATGTTCATCACACATTTTAAATCTGATTGTTCAAGATGGCTTAGTAGTGATTGGTGAAGCTTTGCAGAAGATTAGAGACAGCGTCAAATTTGTAAAAGGATCAGAGAGTATGGAAATAATGTTTCGCAACTGTGTTGAAACATTGGGAATCCAGGGCAGTGATGGCCTAGTTTTAGATGTAAGTACTCGCTGGAATTCTACATTTCATATGCTCTCTAGAGCTATATAGTTCAAAGATGTTCTAGGTAACCTTGCAGATGCAGAAGCGAGCTACACAAGTTATCCGTCTGAATTAGAATGGAATAGAGGAGAGATGGTATGTGAGTTTCTAAAGCCATTTGCAGAAATTACAACTTTGATTTCCGGTTCAACATATCCCACGGCAAACTTGTATGTCATGCAAATCTGGAAGATCGAATGTTGGCTGAGAGATCATGAGAATTCTGCTGATCCGATTATTAGTGAAATGGTTGAAGAGATGCAGCTTAAGTTCGATAAATATTGGGAAGATTAAAATGATATACTTGCAATAGCTGCAGTGTTAGATCTGAGACTGAAATTTACCTTCCTTGAATACTGTTTCACAATATTAGATCCATCTACATGTAAGTTCAAACTGTCTCATGTGCGTTCAAAGATGTGTAAGATTTTTGGTGCTTATAAAAAGAGCCAAAGAGACATCACTGCTGCTGCGGCAACTTCAGAAGCTCAAAAAAACATTCCTGCAGGTTATAGTGTAAGTGTTTTGGTTCTGTTCTTTTTATGTTCTAAGCTTCTCATTTTCAGTGATTTTAATCAGTGTTTTGTGTTCTTTTCTCAGGGATTTTATGCCTTTTTTCACAGAAGGCTGGTGGTAATGGAAAATCACATCTAGATATATATTTAGATGAGCCAACGCTTGATATGGTTGCCAACAAGAATTTGAATGTGTTAACTTATTGGAGAGATAACGCAAGCCGTTTTAAAGAGTTGTCCACTATGGCGTGTGATGTTCTGAGTATTCATATAACAACAGTGGCATCTGAATCTTCTTTTAGCATAGGTAGTAGAGTTCTAAAAAAAATATAGGAGCTCTCTCTCTTACCTACTAATGTTCAGGCTTTGATTTGTACTAGAAATTGGTTAAAGGGCTTTCCAGAAATTGGTAAGTGGTTTTGTTATATTGTGAAGTCTGATGATATGTTTCTGTGATGATTGATGAATTTATTTGGTTTTTCAGATGAGCAAGAAGAGGAGAAAGAAGAAGAGAAAGACGAAGAGATAGAAGAAGAGAAAGAAGAATCTTAAGGTAATTAATGACTTTCTGTTTTTAAAATGTTGTTATTTATGATTTGATTCAATGAACACTATTGTTTAGCCATCTAAAATTACCATTTGTACTTTTGTAGGATTGAATTGGAGTTCATGGAGGATAAAACAAAGCATAAAGAATGGTTATGAACATTGTTTTGTTTGAATGGTTATGAACATTGTTTTGTTTGCATGAATTTGGTAATTTCTGGCTTTGTAAAACAAGTGTTTTATTTGAATTTAAACTTGATTTATTTAAATTTGATAATTTCTGGCTTTGTGAAACAAGTGTTTTATTTGAATGAAATTGTGTTTAATTTATACAGTGTAAATATGAGAAAAAGAGAACTTGGGCCGACCATAAACAAGCCCACTTGGACGCGGTTACAATTGGGCACAGACAAGTTGTGGACATGGTTAATTTAGGGCTTTGGTCATATTTGTCCATCAGAAAGGAATGCCCATTTGGAAGGCATGCCCATTTTAATGAGAAGAGAGTTAACATAACCAAATGACTCGAAATGTATACCCAAATTTTTAATACAGTAAAACAGAAAAAAAATAGCTGATATAATGTTGAATTACAAGTAAAATAGAGTTAATATTACTAAAGACCTGTATAAGACTCTAAGTTTTTTTTTAATATTTTAATTGATAACAAGTAAGAATTGAAATAAACAACTCTTAAATTTCGATTTTATGTTTTTAATATTTTTTTCTTTTATAATAATCTGATTTTATTTTCTATTTTTTCAAAAAAAATATTTTAATTAATTAAAAAAAATTATTATAAACCCACATATATGATCCTAATCTAGTTTTTTAGTTATAAACAAATGAAAAAGAAAATATTTATTCAGTTTGTAAAGAATCTTCTTAGATCCGTTTGTTTAATAGTAGATTAAAAGGAATCTTCTTTGATCCGTTTGTTTACAGTAGATTGAAAGGAATCTTCTTTGATCCGTTTGTTCAGTTTTTGTTGAATCGATCTTTCGTTGGGTAGGTTGAAAAAAGATTAAAAAGAAAACCCTAATAATTTCTCTGTCTGCGCTAATGGGTTGTAGAGATTTAGTTAGCAACCTGCCAGATGAGATACTTGGCAAAACCCTGTCACTGCTTCCGACACGTCTTGCTGCTTCAACATCGGTTCTGTCCAAGAGGTGGAGGAATCTGTTAGCGCTTGTAGACAATCTTGATTTCGATGATGACGCAAGTGTTGGTCGTCTTCCTCCTCCAGGCTTTCCTGAATTCGTGGAAAAAACACTTGCTCTCTTATGCAGCGATACTTGTCCCACCTTGAAGAGATTCTCTCTGAAATTCAGATTTCAGCACGAGTCTTGTCTCGTCAAGAGTTGGATTCGCACTGCACTAGAGCGCGGCTGCTTGGAGCTTCACTTGGAGAACGTAGGTTGGGATAATATACCGACTCAGTTCTTCACGAGCAACACACTGGTTAAGCTCACAATATCCAAAGGATTTTATTCTAGCGATCGTTGTCTTGCTGATGATAGTAGTGGGAGGAGGAAGAGAAGGATTTTCCCATCACTCAAAACTCTCTCCATCGTTTCAATGATGTTTCCAGATTTTGAGACGTATCAGTATCTCATCAATGGCTGCCCTGTGCTTGAGGACTTGTCCCTGCATTTTCACGAGAAGACATTTCCTCCGAATTGGAGTGGTGGCGTGTTGTGTCCTTCTGTCAAGCGGATGAACATCTATCACTATTTTCCCTCTTACCGTGAGACTCATGAGGGTGTTTTGTTTAAAACACCAAATCTCGTGTACCTTGATTATTCTAGTTATGTCACGGATGAGTATGAGGTGTACTTGGGCTCACTCGTAGAAGCTAGGCTGGATCTTCTATCATGGGAGCGACTTAATGATAATGTTGACGATGATGGTCATTTAGAGAAGGATGATGATGACAATGACAGTGGTTGTAGTTGTGGTTGTTGTGAGGAGGATGATGGTATTGGTGACTATGAAGCTTATTGTGATATTGAGGATGTTGTTTTGGGTGATGTTACGGATCTGGTTGCAGGGATAACCAACATTACAACTCTTCACTTGTCTCCTAATTCTCTTGAGGTCAGTATTTAATTGATTATCAAATCTAAAGCTAAGCTAAACCAAAAATGTTTCATCCCTTTTTTTTATATAATCTTTGTGTTTTGGTTGTGATAATTTATAAATCAGGTGCTTCACTTTTGCTGTAAATCAATGCCAGTGTTTCACAACCTCCTTACTTTATCTTTTGAGAGCAACAAAAAAAGAGGATGGCAAGTGGTGCCACTTCTCATCACCAACTCTCCAAACCTTGAAACCTTAACCATCAAGGTACATCTGATAAACACACACATGATTCGTTTCATTGCTATTTGCTAGGTCATATTGTACATAAGTTTTTTTGCTTGCGTCTATATATACTTTCAGGGTCTTGTGCACCAAGTTGGCTATCTATGCGGAGATGTCTGCCCTTGCATCCCTAAGAAGAAGAAGAATAAGAAGAAGAAGAAGGATGTATGCTGTTTATCGACATGTCAAGTGAAGGTGCTAAACATTTCAGGGTATCGAGGAACTAGTAGAGAGCGGAAACAGATGAAGCATTTCTTGGCAAATTTAAAATGTCTTGAAACTGTCAAGGTTGGTGTTGAAGTGGTTCGTCGAGAAGACAACAATGATGCTAATAATAAGTACCTCAGAATCACCGATGCTCTTATGAAGCTTCCCAGAGTTTCATCAACCAGTCGCATCCAGTTCTTCTGATTTTTTTTTTGTTTTTTTTCCTCTTTTTATTTAGTTGTTGGATTGCAAAAATCAGAAGTTATTATGCATTGTTCTTCTTGATGTTCTAAAGTTGATTGGTCTTTGTTAGACTTAGTTTTTAATGTCCAAATAGTTTCTTGCATTGTGCATCGTGCATCGTGTTTGATGGCATCAGATTACAGTAGAGGAGGCTCTGTTCTTGAACTTTCTTGTATCATAACAATGTTGGAATTTAAATTTTGGCAATTATGGATTCTTTGAAATCTTTGTAATGAGCACTAATAGACAGTGTAATTATTTGTCAAAATCGAAGTTAATTTGAATAAGAAATCAATGGTCAAAGTGGACATGTAATCAAGACTAAAAGTCAAGATGTGCATTTGTCACACATTGGAAGTATGAGAGCTATTATGCAAAACCATAAAAGAATTTATTTTTTGGAATAAAAATTTATTGACTTATTTAATAAAATTGTCAATATTCTATTTATAATTTTGTATAATATCGATAAATCTTTATTGATTGAGTCGAATTATTTTACGGAATATTTCCATTTCTCTTATCTTTGTCAAATAAGGAATAAAGATTTTTGGAATATTTCTGTTTCCTCTGTCAAACAAGAAATAAAGGTTTTCGGAATATTTCCGTTTTTCCTTAACCTTGTCGAACAAGGAACAAAGATATTCAGAATATTTCCGTTTATCTGCTGTGAGTAATAAGGAAAATTTCTTGTATCACAAACCTCTCTTCCACTATAAATAAGGACCTCTCTCATTCATTATTCTTCATCTAGAAAAGCAATAAGCTTTCAAATACAAATATCCAGCAAATCCCTCTCGTCTCTACAGTCTTAGGTGAGTCTCGAGAGTATAGCGTAGATTCTTAAGTTTGCAGATTCTATAGTCGAGTGCTGCGACTTTAGTCTCAACACGGTTGTATCATGGGATTCTGAATCTCTTCAAACTGCCACACTGCGGGAGATTTAAAGAATTAAGGAAAGAGATCATATCTCGACTCCGTGTCTCGTCTTTCCTTAAAGGTTTTATTAAAACGTTTTATGCTTTTATTATCATTTATTATTGATTTAAATCATTTTTATATTCGTGATTTTCAATCTGGATTTTCGCGGTCCTACAATCTTAATTCTTTAAATCCGTTTCCTGCTAATCGCTTGAATCGGATTGAATATTGCGAACAATACTTCAAAAACGATTTCATAAAACGATTTTAAAACATTTTCTGATCGATCTACAACGATTCTGCGATTGTCTTATAGCCAACCGTAGAACGTTTGATCTTAAAAACAGACGATTATCATAAAGACACAAAACGATTTCCGCGTCAGCCCTAGGCAGGATCGCGAAACGTTTGTCTATAAACGATCTTATAGATCTGAAAATAGCGTTTAAGAACACCTTAGGTGATTTCTGGGAACGACTATTAGGGTTTAAGAACGCTTTTAGGCGATTTCTGTGAACAAATTAATAGCGAATTAAACGTTTTTAATCGCTTTTCTGAATTGAAATCTCAAAAACTAACCTAGTTCGTTTTCTGTGATTAGATTCAGAATGTCTACTGACGTTGGACTTCCGAAGAACACAAGTGAGCCGACACTCGCACAAGGGAATGGTCTACCACACACGGTTCCATCGATTCCAACCGCTGGACTTCAACCTGAAAAGTTTGATGGAACAAACTTCAAGCAGTGGCAGAAGCGGATGCACTTCTTTCTGTCCACGTTGCACCTGGCAAAGTATCTTACTGAAACTAAACCAGTGCTTTCTGCTGAGAATACAGATCCGCACATGCTTGCTACGGTCCAAGCGTGGATCCATGCGGATTTCCTGTGCAAAGGCTACATCCTGAATAACCTTGCAGATCAGCTGTACGGCCTGTACAGTGAAGGGTATGAGACTTCCAGAGATGTCTGGATTGCTCTCGAAAACAAATACAAGACCTTCAACGTGAGTTCTGGAAAATTTGCAACTGCGAAACTCCTTAACTTCAGAATGGTAGACTCACGGTATCTTATGGATCAAGTGCATGAGCTACAAACGATATTCCAGCAAATATCAGATGAAGGCATGAAGCTGTGTGAGACCTTCACGGTTAACTGCTTCATGGAGGTGCTGCCCCCAGGCTGGGACGGTTTCAAGAGCTACCTCAACTACAAGCAGAAGCCTCTGTCGTTGGCTAACTTGATTACCAGGCTTCAGAATGAGTCACAAAAACGTGACAAGGCTGAACCACCTCAGACACATGACGCAAATGTGGCTGAGTTTAAGAAAAAGGGGAAAGGAAATGGCTTTCCTCCAAAGGCTGTGATTCACAAAGTTGCAAATCAAGCCCCCTCAAACTTCAAGAAGCAAGCTCACGCTCCTAATAAGAAGTTCTCTGGGAAGTGTAACCACTGCGGCAAGATGGGACATCGTGCTACAGACTGTCGCAGTAAGGCCAAGGGTGTTAATCAAGCCAACCTAACTCAAGCTGATCTGTGCGCAGTTGTAACAGAAGCTAACATGGTTGAAGAAAACCCAAGGGCATGGTGGTACGATACTGGCGCTACCACACACATCTGCATTGATAGAGATATGTTCAACACCTATCAAAAGAGCAAAACTGATGAACATCTGTTGATGGGAAACGTGTCCCACTCCAAGATTGAAGATACCGGAAAAGTGGTGCTAAAGATGACATCGGGAATGGAGATCACGCTCTCAAACGTGAAGCATGTTCCAGACATGAGGAAGAATCTGATCTCTGGCACGCTGCTAAGCAAGCACGGATTTGCAATCAATTTTGAATCTGACCAGTTGATTCTTAGGAAGAATGGTGTTTTCATTGGAAAAGGATTTGTTAAGGAAGGATTGGTCAAAATGTGTGTAATGACCATCCTCAATAAAAACGATGTACCTGTTTCCAAAAATGATAAGAATAAGAAACCAGTTGCTTATTTGGTTGAGTCTTCTAATATTTGGCATGAAAGATTAGGACATGTGAATTATAAGTCTGTACAAAGGCTGATGAATTCGAACTTAATCCCCAAATACAAAATTAGCAAAGACAAGTGTGAAGTTTGTGTACAATCAAAACTCACAAAAACACCATCCCCTCATGTTGAAAGAACAACCGAACCTCTTGGCTTAATCCACACTGATCTGTGCGATTTAAAGTATATACAAACAAGGGGTGGTAAGAAGTACTTCGTGACTTTCATTGATGATTGCACAAGATACTGTTACGTCTACTTACTGCGAAGTAAAGACGAAGTCTTGGACAAATTCAAAGAATACAAGCTCGAAGTTGAAAACCAACTGGGAAAAACCATTAAGATGGTTAGAAGTGATAGAGGAGGCGAGTATGATGGACCTTTCAACGCTTTCTGTCAAGAAAAAGGCATCATACATCAAACAACCGCTCCCTACTCACCAGAATCTAACGGAGTTGCAGAGAGAAAGAATCGCACTCTGAAAGAGATGATGAATGCAATGTTGCAGGAATCTGGGACACCCCAGAATCTGTGGGGGGGAAGCGCTGCTCACCACAAACTACATCCTCAACAAAATTCCACACAAGATTACTGGCAAAACGCCATATGAACTTTGGAAAGGAACTGTACCTTCGTACAAATACCTCAAAGTGTGGGGGTGCTTAGCAAAAGTCGCTGTGCCACCTCCTAAGAAGCTGACAATTGGGCCTAAAACGGTTGATTGCATCTTCATCGGATATGCACATAATAGCAGTGCTTATCGATTCCTAGTACATAAGTCAGATGTACCAGACATTCATGTCAACACGATAATGGAATCTAGGAATGTGTCTTTCTTTGAAAATATCTTTCCGTGCAAAGAGAAACAAAGTAAGAAATGCACTCATGATGAAAGAGACGCTAGCATCTCTGTAAATGAGGAGAGCACTTCTGGAATTTCAGTTGATGAAGCAGAAGATGAAAAAGATGAACCTAGACGTAGCAAGAGAGCACGCAAGGAAAAAATCTTTTGGTGATGATTTCTTAATGGTATTTCTCACAGAGAATGAGCCGAGATCATACACAGAAGCCATGTCTACACCTGATGCATCTTTCTGGAAAGAAGCAGTTAATAGTGAAATTGATTCTATAATGCAGAATCATACTTATGAGATCACTGATTTACCTCAAGGTTTCAAAGCACTAGGGTGTAGATGGATATTCAAAACCAAGTTGAAAACTGATGGTTCAATTGAGAAGTACAAGGCCAGACTTGTGGTTCAAGGATTCAGACAAAAAGAAGGTCTAGATTTCTTCGACACCTATTCTCCAGTAACAAGAATAACTTCAATAAGAATTCTGATAGGAGTTGTAGCCCTAAGAGGACTCGAAATCCATCAGATGGATTTAAAAACGGCTTTTCTAAACAGTGATTTAAAAGAGGAGATTTACATGAAGCAACCCGAAGGATTTGTGGTCCCGGGTCAAGAACAAAAAGTCTGTAGACTTGTGAAGTCATTGTATGGTCTGAAACAAGCTCCAAAGCAATGGCATGAAAAGTTTGACAATGTAATGATGTCAAATGGTTTCAGCATAAATGAGTGTGATAAATGCATCTACATCAAAAGTACTCCTCACGGGTATATCTTGTTGTGTTTATACGTTGATGACATGCTCATCATGGGAAGTAACAATGATATCATCCAACAAACCAAGACAATGCTTAGTGGTCAGTTTGACATGAAAGACATGTTATCCTTGGCATAAAAATTACACGCACCTCTGAAGGCATCACTCTGTCTCAAGGTCATTATGCTGAAAAGATTCTTGAGAGGTTCAAGGCCTACTCAAACGGAACTGCGAAGACTCCCGTAGATTCGCAACTACACTTGACAAAGAACTCTGGTGAAGCTGTTTCACAAGTGGAATATACAAGGGTCATTGGCAGTCTAAAGTACCTAACCAATTGTACACGACCAGACCTTGCGCATGCTGTCAACGTGTTAAGTCGTTACACAAGTAATCCAGGTCATACACACTGGAAAGCCATAACAAGGGTATTAAATTATTTGCGATACACCAAGAGTTATGGGCTGCACTACGGTAAAGAACCCGCATCTTTGGAAGGATACAGTGATGCAAACTGG